TTAAAACTGAGAATGTTATCAATTTTGCATAATAATGTTTCAGATAATTGCTTTATTAACCAGTGAAAAAAACAGAGTATGAGATTAAACGTTTTTTTTCCTTCTACTTATTAGTTGATTCAACTATTCATTAAAACCGAAAAGATTATCAATTTTTTTTAGTTTTAAACTAAAAACATTATCACTTTTTTCATTTCTATTTTTTTTTTCATTTTTAAAGTTTTTTTTTTGCACATCAATGTTCCATCATCATGCTTCCTTATAGACACAAAATTTTCAGTTTTGCACAAAAAAATAATTCAATTTTTTTTTTTTTTTAAAAAAAAAAAAAACATTCGTTTTTTTTTGGGTGATTTACATACAAGTCTCATTTTGTAAACTTATAATCCATTAAGTCCTATGTAAAATTATTTGCTCCTCAAAGTCCCATTAATTTTTAATAGGCCAATTTACCCTTCCAAGACCTCCTCACCAGACACACACTCTCTCTCTCTCTCTCTCCTCTCCACAGACCCAACCTCTGGTCTCCTCCGTATGACTCTGCCTTTCCCTCCGTCCAGAGTGTTGTCGGCTTCAGCGCCGACCTCGACCACCTCAACATCACCGCCTGCCATCGCCATGGTATCACTATCACCAACATCGGCGACGCCTTCTTCACCGATTCAACCCCTGCTGCTGCTGCTACTGCTGCGACGTGGCTCCAGTGCCGACCTCGACCACATCGACCTCATCGCCTGCCACCACCATAGTATCACTGTCACTAACACCGGCGACGCCTTCTTCACCGATTCAACCCTTATGCGTCATCATCGCAACTGCGACTCTTCTCTTTCTCTTGTTGTCTCTCTTTTCTCCATTGATCTCCCGCTTATCTTCTCTGCTTCTAAACCCTAACCCAACTCTCCAAATTCCTTTCAAAATTCTCAATTTTTTTAATCTATTATTTATAGTGTTTTAAGCAAAAGTTTTGGACAAATCTGAAAAATCTAAAAAATCACAAGTTTTGGAGACCAATTTGAGTGGAGATGATTCTAACTGCGTCTCTGTTCTTGATGTTTTTGGAAAAAGTTTAGATTTTTCAAACTGATAATATTCTCAATTTTTTATAGTTTTAAAATTGAGAATATTATCAGTTTAAAATTGAAAAAATGATAATATTCTCAGTTTTAACACAGAAAAATTGAAAATTTTCTTAATTTTACTCGATATTTTTGTAAACTGAAATCATTCTCAATTTTAAATTAAGAACATTCTTAGTTTTGGAACTGAAAATGCCTCAGTTCTTACCTACAAACATTTTCAGCTTGGGGGCTGCTTTGTTTTTCGGAAGCCATTGAAAGAAAAAATAAAAAATAAAAACAGAGAGAAGACAAATGAGAGATTCTCAGGTCCTCGTTTTCCTTATTCAGAAGATCAATACGCGATTGAAGAATGATCATGGGTTGGGCCCTAATCACTTCAGGCTTCATCGTCTCTCTCTCTGTAGAAACATTAAGGATCTCATTTTCCAAATTGCTAAAGGGCAAAACGTCTTTTTACCTGTAAATGAGACTTATTGGTTCAAAAATTTTTTGACAGGGCCTAAGCTACTACCAAATATGTAGATAGGACTTTTAGGCAATTAACTTTTTTTTTTTTTTGCACATAATTTTTTTAATAAATTTTTTCAATTTGAAAGTTGATATTTTAAAGTTTTGAAAATCAAAATAAATGTCAAATCATCATATTCCTTTATAGATAATCATAAATGATGAACAATCATTATTTGAAGGGCAATTTCGACTATTAAAAATTTAATGAGACTTGAAGATTCAAAAAATCTTAGTTAAAACTTATGTAAATGTTCCTAATTTTTTTAATATTTTTTTAATTACTAAAATTAAAAATTTTGGAATGGACTTTGGTAAAAAAAATTAAAAAAAGGAGAGAGGATAAATTACAAAAACTATATTTTAATGATATACAAATTTAAATTTTAAAACTGATTAATAACTTTCCTTTTCAAATGTCAATGAAAGCTAACTAATAGAAGATTTTTTTAATTATTTAAAATTATGAATTTTAGAAAAAAGGCAAATTACAAACACCCCTTAAGGTTTGGTGAAAATATAGATTTTTTTTATGAGGTTTGAGAAATTACATCCCGCCCCCTGAGGTTTATATTTCCATAACAAATTGTCCCCTGAGATTTTTATTTTCATACAGATAAAAATCTAATTTGTTATACAAATTTGACTTTCAGGGAGCAATTTGTAATTTCTCAAACCTCGGGGAAGAATCTGTATTTTTACCAAACTTCGAGGGGGTGTTTCTAATGTGCCCTTAGAAAAATAGTATGAGAGTTTTGAATTTTACAATACTCTTCTCATTATAAATCTCATTTTCTTTAATATATATATATATATATATAGATAGATAGGTAATACTGATTGTTTTGGAAAGTGCAAAATAAGTTGACATTTTTATTTAGGGCAAATTGTAAACACCCCCTTGAGGTTTGGTGAAAATACAGATTTACCCCTGAGGTTTGAGAAATTACATCCCGCCCCCTGAGGTTTATATTTCCATAACAAATTGCCCCCTGAGGTTTTTATTTTCACACAGATTCCCTCCTAATTTGTTATGCAAATTTGACTATCAGGGGCAATTTGTAATTTCTCAAACTTCATGGGAGAATCTGTATTTTTACCAAATCTCGAGGGGAGTGAAAAGACGTACAAAAGTAGAGAGGTGATATGACATAGATAAGTAAAAAAAAATTAATAATCGAGCTTATAAACCACTTTCCAAAAGAGGTCTTACTACAACTAATTTTGATTTAAAGTTATTTTGTGTATGACTTATATTTTTTTATTTATTACGAAAAGACGTCTAAAAAAATAGAGATGTAATATAACTTAAATAAGTCAATAAGCTTTCTTAATTTATCCCCCAAAACACCTTCCTTTTATTTTATTTTATTTTTAATTGTAACCATTATTTTTATTTTTTTACACTTTGGACCAAGTTAGAATGTGATTATTTAAAGATTTTTTTTGATGTGATATATATGAATACGCGACACACATACATATAAATATATATCTGTACATGAAAGAGGAAGTAAGAGGCAATGAAGGGATGTCGTGGAAAGAAAGGTGATAGGTTACAGTCGAGAGGAGCAAATGCCATCGTGGTCAGCGGTTGCAAATTGGCAATGGTCATGATAGTGGGTGAGTGGTATAACGACTAGAAGATATTTATAAATAAGATTGTAGAATTAAATCGAGAATAGTAAGATTTTATTTTTAATATTAAATAAAATGAGAAATTATTTACAATGATGTATCTTAAATAATTTTAAAATTATTGAAGAAAATTGATAATTTGATATAATGCATATTTTATGTTAACGTAAATTAGAAGAAATATTTGAAGAAAAAGTTTATAGTCAAATTTGTTATATACATATATAAGAAATAAATAATAATTTTTTTTAATTAGAGCGGGATCATAGTGCGATTGTATACAATTTTATAACTAGTATTGTAGTCATTTTAAGATCTTATTGAATTTATTCGGATCTAGATTATGATAATAATGGATCTGATAGCTACCATTGGTAGAGAAGAGAAGAAGAGAGACAGTTCAAAGATAAGATATTTTGTTATTTCATCACAAAAAATTTTACATTATTTGAGGAATTGATATTTGATGAAAAATTTTATATAGAAAAATGTTAAAAAATATTTGTTGTTAGTGTTAGAAAATATATAAGAAGTGTATTAAAATACCTAACAGATGTATGGTAATTTATATTTTGTAAAAAGAAAAGGAAAAAGAGAGATTTCTACTTTGTTATTTTTTATATTTTTTTGTTTTTACTGAATTTTTTAATATTTTAAGTAATTTTTTTAATTTTTAGACGCACAAAACAAAAATGACTTAAAAAGTATAATTTTTGTGAATTTTTTTTAAAAAAATTCACTAAATACCAAAAATACAAAAAATTATAAAAATTTAGTATATTTTTCGTATTTTTGTGTATTTATTAATTTTTTAAAATATTTTTTCACAAATATTTTACTTTTTAGATACATCTATGTAAGGTGCATCTAAAAAAAATAAAAAAATACTTAAAATTTTAAAAATATTTACTAAAAATAAAAATATAAAAAAAATTAAAAATTTAATTTTTAAAAAATTAAATTTAAAAAACTGAAACTAAACCCACTAATTTTTAAAATTATAAAATGAAATCTCTATAATTATCAAGAAAAAAGTGAGTGTAATTAAGTACTGAACGCGCCACTGAGCGTGCGTGGGTTTTGAATATGAGCCAATGCATATGTAAGGGAACAGAGAGTGTGATGAGACTTGATAGAGAGAAGAGAGAGAGTCGACTACTTCTACTCTGAGAGGGAGGCTCAATGAGTCACCGAGTCCTAACTACTTCGCACGCCCACGATAGTTGCTGCCAAAGTTAAGGAGGCCCAGTTTACATTGACAACTCTCTCCTACTTTTTCTCTGTTTTTTATTTATTTATTTTCGCAGTCACTATTCTCACTTTAATTGTTTTTAAATATCTTTTTAATTCTCAATCCATTATACAACTCACATGTCATTAAATTAAGAGAATTAGCTTTTATATTATTTTTTATAAAACAATATATATTTATAATAAAGTTGAGTGAAGGAAACGGCTCCCTTTATATTTTCATTAAAAAATGATCATCTGGATGTGTATTGATAATTGATATGATTTTTCACAGTTGGGATTGAAGATAACCGTGTTCATCACAATGGGTATTAATTTGTTTCTCTGTACAGACAACATTAATACCAACTATAAATTCATTTATGGGTTGTTTTTGTTTGTTGTTGTGTTTTTAATGTTTTAATTTATTATTATTTTTTTTCATATACAGAATTAATGGAGGAACCAACATCTACAGTGAAAATTTCTACAGTATCTAAAATTATTATTTAAGAAGAAAAAAAAAAGGAGAGCACAAAGAAAGCAAAGAAAGTGAGTGTGGGTTCTGTACTGTCTTAGCCTGTCCCCCCCACCCAACACAGTCTCTCTCTTCTTTCTCTCTCCTCAACAGTCTTAAGGGCTGCACTACCACATTGGCTTTTTCTGCCTTTTGTTGTTTATGTGCTTTTGCAAAGTAACAATTGTCTATGTCTGCTACTTCTTCTGCTCCCTCTTCTCAGAACTGTAAATGGGTGAGGAATCAAACTTTGAATTTCTTGTTATTATTTGATACCTTCACTTTTCTTCTCATCTTTTAGCCTTCCTTCTCTCCTGTGTAATATCCCTTCAAACATGACTCTCTCTTTGTTTTCTATACAGTTTCTCTCCTGTTCCTTCTTTGTGAACACCCTCTTTTAATATATATATGTGGGTGTGTGTGTGTGTGTGTGTGCAATTCTTGCTATGATTTGACTCAATTTCCCATTTTCTATTTTTTTCTTTTTTTGCTTTGTGGGTACTCTTCAGTAGCCACTTGATTGCCCTCTTCCCAACTTTAATTTGCTTCTTTTTTTCTTTTTTTCCTCCCCTGTTGGGTAGTTGGTTGTACTGGTATTGTGAGTGGCAAGCTCCGGGGATTTCATGGAAATTGATCTGAACCATGCCGTGATTGAGGTGGAGAAGAATGCATGTGGCAATGGTGACTGTGACAAGGGTGGTGGTGGTGGTGGTGGTGGATGGGGTGATGGTTGTTGTTTGTCTTCTTCAACTTCCTCATCCTCTTCAAATTCATCTTCTTCACTTGCTTCTTCTTCAATTTACATGGAGCTTTGGCATGCCTGTGCCGGCCCTCTCAGCACTCTGCCCAAGAAAGGGAATGTGGTTGTCTACTTCCCACAAGGTCACTTGGAACAGGCTGTCTCTTCCTCACCTTTCCCACCCATGGAAGTTACCAATTTTGATCTCCAACCCCAAATCTTCTGCAGGGTTATGGATGTTCAATTGCTTGTGAGTATTGGGTTTTCACTTTTTTCTTATTGAATTCTTTGTGGTTTCTGTGTAAGAGGTCTCAAATTGCTTGTCTTTGTTTTGAATTTAGTAGTGATGTTTGTGATCTCTTGAAACAGGCTAATAAGGAAAATGACGAGGTCTATACACAGCTGACCCTACTCCCTCTACCAGAGGTATATGCTTGCCCATTAGTACTACTGCTTTCGTTGTCAATTCTTGGTTTTGGCCCAATAGTAAAGCTTGATGTTAGCTTTCTCATAGCACGGATTTAAGTCTTGGAAACTGAAATGGAATAGGACTGCCTGTATCATGCCCTCTCGTGCATTGGGCCGTCTTTTTTTTATTTTTTTGGACAAGAGTTTTGAGGTGCGCAAGATAGCGCGATAAAATGCATGCAAAATGGAAGTAATGTGTACAAAATAGTGCGATGAGGGGCGCAAGATAGCGCGATAAAATGCATGCAAAATGGAAGTAATGTGTACAAAACAGTGCGATGAGGGGCGCAAGATAGCGCGATAAAATGCATGCAAAATGCAAGTAATGTGCAGAAAACAGTGCGATGAGGTTCGCAAGATAGCGCGACAAAATGCATGCAAAAAGCAATTAATGTGCAGAAAACAGTGCGATGAGGTGCGCAACATAGCGCGATAAAATGCAAGCAAAATGCAAGTAATGTGCAGAAAACAGTGCGATGTGGTCCGCAAGATAGCGCGATAAAATGCATAGAAAATGAAAGTAATGGTCACAGCGCAAAATAGCGCGATGCGCAAAATAACGTTATAAAATGCATGCGAAATGCAAGTAATGTGCAGAAAAAAGTGCGATTTGGTGCGCAAGATACCGCGACAAAATGCATGCAAACTGCAAGTAATGGTCACAACGCAAGATAGCGCGATACGCAAGATAGCGCGATAAAATGCATGCAAAATGCAAGTAATGTGCAGAAAACAGTGCGATGAGGTGCGCAAGATAGCGCGATAAAATGCATGGAAAATGCAAGTAATGGTCACAGCGCAAAATAGCGCGATGCGCAAAATAGCGTGATAAAATGCAAGCAAAATGCAAGTAATGTGCAGAAAAAAATGCGATGAGGTGCGCAAGATAGCGCGACGAAATACATGTAAAATGCAAGTAATGTGCAGAATACAGTGCGATGAGGTACGCAAGATAGCTCGACAAAATACATGCAAAATGCAAGTAATGGTCACAGCGCATAACAGCGCGATGAGCAAGATAGCGTGATAAAGTGCATGCAAAATTCAAGTAATGTGCAGAAAACAGTGCGATGAGGTGCGCAAGATAGCACGATAAAATGCATGCAAAATGCAAGTAATGTGCAGAAAACAGTGCGATGAGGTGCGCAAGATAGCGCGATAAAATGCATGCATAATGCGAGTAATGGTCACAGCGCAAAGTAGCGCGATGCGCAAGATAGGGCGATAAAATGCATGCAAAATGCAAGTAATGTGCAGAAAACAGTGCGATGAGGTGCGCAAGAAAGCGCGATAAAATGCATGCAAGATGCAAGTAATGTGCAGAAAATAGTGCGATGAGGTGCGCAAGGCAGCGCGACAAAATTCATGGAAAATGAAAGTAACGTGCAGAAAACAGTGCGATGAGGTGCGCAAGATAGCGCGATAAAATGCATGCAAAATGCAAGTAATGTGCAGAAAACAGTGCGATTTGATACCTTCACTTTTCTTCTCATCTTTTAGCCTTTCTTCTTTCCTGTGTAATATCCCATTTTCTATTTTTTTCTTCTTTTTGCTTTGTGGGTACTCTTCAGTAACCACTTGATTGCCCTCTTCCCAACTTTAATTTGCTTCTTTTTTTCTTTTTTTCCTCCCCTGTTGGGTAGTTGGTTGTACTGGTATTGTGAGTGGCAAGCTCCGGGGATTTCATGGAAATTGATCTGAACCATGCCGTGATTGAGGTGGAGAAGAATGCATGTGGCAATGGTGACTGTGACAAGGGTGGTGGTGGTGGATGGGGTGATGGTTGTTGTTTGTCTTCTTCAACTTCCTCATCCTCTTCAAATTCATCTTCTTCACTTGCTTCTTCTTCAATTTACATGGAGCTTTGGCATGCCTGTGCCGGCCCTCTCAGCACTCTGCCCAAGAAAGGGAATGTGGTTGTCTACTTCCCACAAGGTCACTTGGAACAGGCTGTCTCTTCCTCACCTTTCCCACCCATGGAAGTTACCAATTTTGATCTCCAACCCCAAATCTTCTGCAGGGTTATGGATGTTCAATTGCTTGTGAGTATTGGGTTTTCACTTTTTTCTTATTGAATTCTTTGTGGTTTCTGTGTAAGAGGTCTCAAATTGCTTGTCTTTGTTTTGAATTTAGTAGTGATGTTTGTGATCTCTTGAAACAGGCTAATAAGGAAAATGACGAGGTCTATACACAGCTGACCCTACTCCCTCTACCAGAGGTATATGCTTGCCCATTAGTACTACTGCTTTCGTTGTCAATTCTTGGTTTTGGCCCAATAGTAAAGCTTGATGTTAGCTTTCTCATAGCACGGATTTAAGTCTTGGAAACTGAAATGGAATAGGACTGCCTGTATCATGCCCTCTCGTGCATTGGGCCGTCTTTTTTTTATTTTTTTGGACAAGAGTTTTGTTTTGTTTTGTTTTTCTTTCTTGGGGGTGGGGGTGTTGTTAAATGGATTATGTTCTATTCTTTGTGACTGCCTTGATTCTTAGTTTTTTGGATTTTAATTTAGAATTTTTTTTTTGAAATATTTGCTCAAACTTGTCTCTTGATGATGCCATGTTCTGGGTATTATATGTAGTTGGAAGTTGTGAATTTAGAGGTGAAGGACCATGGAGAATTGGGGTTGGATGAGGGAGGTTTGATACCCACAAAAACTCCACATATGTTCTGCAAGACGCTTACAGCCTCTGATACAAGCACCCATGGTGGCTTCTCTGTTCCTCGTCGTGCTGCCGAAGACTGTTTCCCACCTCTGGTGAGGTTTTCTTGCTTTTGCTATGTGTGATTTTTGTAGGTAGGTTTGTTTGGACCTTGCAGCTGAGTTTCTGATACACTTGGTGGTATGGTTTGTCTCGGTTGTAGGACTATAAACAGCAAAGACCCTCTCAGGAGCTTGTTGCCAGGGACCTTCATGGAGTGGAATGGAAATTTCGACATATTTATCGAGGTAATTTGATGGACCTCTGGAGGCTGTGTTTGGATCTTGGAATTGTGGAGTAATTTGAATGCCAATTTTCAACCAAGATCCAAATGCAGCCGGAGTGTGGTTTGGTTGAAGGGGAAACTCATAAGATTGAATGCCAATTTTCAGGTCAGCCACGGCGACACCTTCTCACTACAGGATGGAGCATTTTTGTGAGTCAAAAGAATCTTGTTTCGGGTGATGCGGTTCTTTTCTTGAGGTACATGGGTTTTTCTGGAATGCTTAAGGTTCTTAAAGTTAAAACCCTAAGAACAATTTTCAAATTTTTTGGCAAATTGGGAAAATAATAAAACATTTTTGAATTGAGTGCTAAAAGAGGACGAAAATGTTCCATTTCCGTTTTGGTATTAAAATGCCCCCAAATGATTCTCACATCTAGTAATATGAAGCTCTTTAATTTATGTGTAATGGTCTTTGTAGAGATGGAGGTGGAGAGCTGAGGTTGGGTATTAGGCGAGCTGTTCGACCAAGAAATGGTCTCCCTGATTCAGTTCTCGGTAACCAAAATTATCAAAGCGTTCTTCCTCTCGTGGGCAATGCTGTATCCACCAAGAGCACATTTCATGTTTTCTACAGCCCAAGGTATCGCCAACCATAGTTTCTTCATCAAAAGGATATCAGTGCATACTGTTACTCTTCTGCTTATTACCATATGTGACTACTAGAACTAAAACTTAGAAAGCTTATGATATATCTTATCTTTGATACATATTAGTGGTAAACTTGCATCCAACCCAAATGGCTGGCATAGAGCTTTATCAGTGACTGGTTACAGCACACTTCATGTGAAAATTTGTGGGAAACATGGTGTAAGTAAGAGGGTTGTTGCATGTGTGATTATAGTAGTTGTCAAAAAAGGTTTTAAAAAAAAAAGAAAAAAGTAAAGGAAAGGATAGTAAGAAAGAAAGATTATGTGTTGTCAATAGGCATTTCATCTGGATGTAATGCGCAAAATAGTGTAGATAACTGGTCAAATCAACTTTCGAGCTTTAAAGAAATAAAATTGAAATAGGAAAAGGAAGATTGCATTTGTGTTTTACTTTGGTTAATTTGTTAAAGACACAGGTTATGGCTGCACTAGTGCTAAAATGCTGCTATCAGGTTTATAACGTATGATTTGGAACAAATGGGCCTTGATGACAGAGTACTCCAATTTATTTTAGGTATGGCTTTAATTAACATATAATTTGGGACATAATTCTTGGTTATGTTTTCCTCCTGTTTGAAGGTTTTATAAGGTCTGAAAGTGAAACGAACTAATAGTATGAATGGAAATAAATTTTTTGTGAAAACTATTGAGGATATAAATCATCATGAGAAAACTAGAGACGAAAGGAAATTAAAGAATGTCAGGAAGCTAGTTGTAGAAACAAATTATGAAAATAGATGATTCTGATTCAATTTTGTTTCTATCCTCTTGAATTCTCTTGACTCTTTGTATACCTATTTAAGGTATTGGTTGTAATGCAAGGTGTTATCAATGCAATTTGTTTTTCTGTTATCTTGCTAGAGCGGCTAATGAATTGTTGCTTCTTCTGAGCTTCATCTATATTCTATGCTCAGCTGGCGATGACATTGCACATTGCTCACTGGACCATGATTTTCATAGGTTTTTTTTATCACCTGTTATTCTCTTCTTACATCCTTTTTATTATTATTACTTTTAAAGATCCTTAAACTTGTATCAGCCAACTCTAAACTCAGGAATTTGTTCCTTTCAAACCTCCATAGCTCTGTAAGAATAAATCAAGTTGTTGCAATTGCCACTAGAAACACCACCACTACTGTCCTCTTGGGAAGTTAAAAAAAAAAAAAATGAAACGCCTTGGCGTTATCTCTTGCAGGGTTAGGTTGAATTTTGGCCCATTGGGAGCAGGACTTTGTCCTATTTCTCTCTCTCTCTCTCTCACACACACACACACACACACATTCAGTAGTGGCCATCAATAATTAGAAACTGACCAATAGGGATGGCAACTTTTTCCCTTTTTAATTTCTCCTTTTTTGGGCAAGGCTTTTAGACTTCTCTATTTCTTCCAATGGGGGAAACGGCCACCAAAATAATTTTCGCCGCATTTTTAGAGTCTCTGAATGAAAATGCCATAATGGATCACGTGAAGAGTGAGGATCGATTTATACGTGTATGGTAATTATGGTACTGAGTCCTATCACGCAGGATGTGAGGTTATCCTACATTTACACGTGTTTGACTGCAGAACCTTTTTTTTTACTGTAAAACTGTACCCGCCTAAACTTGCCTTTTTGAATGTTGATAACTTCATATTGTAATCATCTTGAATTCTAGGGTTTGTTGTGTGAATCATATATGTTCAACATGAAGAACCTAGGCCAAGATAACAGTTCATTAGCATTCCATATGGGGGAAAACCCACTATTACTTGTTAAAAATTCAAAATCTAGAAGACTTGTTAGCCTATTGTTGAATATTTCTTGCCTTTGAATTTCAATATAATTCATGTGGCAATTGATTGGTGTTATCTGCACTGCAATCGTCACCAATCTAATATGTTGAGATCTTTTTGTCAAATCAAGTACTGCCAAGAATCCCTTTATTGCAAGAGCGTTTTCTACGAGATATGAGCACAATAATATGGAAGTCACTGAGAATAATTCTTTGAACTTATCTTATTGTATTATTATTTTAGAAAAATGCTAAAAATAACAAAAATGTTACATTGATATAATTAGGGACATGTATGAAGGTGTGGTGACCACTATTAGATTATCCGTTACAGAGACTAGTGAATTTCCAATTATTGTTGGGTTACACCAAGGATCAACTTAAGTCCTTGTTTTTTCGTTTTAGTTATGGATGAGTTGACACGCAATATTTAGGATGATATGCTATGGTGTATGTTTTTTTGCAGATGATATCGTGTTAGTGGATGAGACTAGAGCAAGAGTTAACACTAAGTTGGAGATTTGGAGAAAAAAACTCGAATCTAAAGGATTTAGGATAAGAAAAACTAAGACACAGTATATGGAGTGTAATTTTAGTAACAGTCACAATAAAAGCAGAGGAGAAGTGAAGATTGAGAACTAAGAATTACCTAAAAGCGAACATTTTTATTATTTAGAATCGATTATCATGACGACTAGAGAGATTGGAGCAGATGTGGTCCACAGAATTAATGCGGGGTGGTTTAAGTGGAGAAGTGCGTCTGGAGTACTGTGCGATAAACGAGTACCATTAGACTAAAAGGGAAGTTCTATAAAACAACTATTAGACTAGCGATATTGTATAGGACGGAATGTTGGGCAACTAAGAAACATGTAGATAAGATGAGTGTTGCTGAGATGAGGGTGTCAAGGTAGATGTGTGGCAAGACTATAAGAATTAGGAATGAGTATATTCGAGAATGAGTAGGAGTAGTACCAATAGAAGACAAGTTGAAAGAGAATAGATAAAGATGGTTTGGTCATATACAACGGAGCTAACAGAGGCAGCAATAAAGAGATGCGATACAATGACGGTAGATGGTAGTGTTAGGGGAAAGGGTAGACCTAGATTTTTGGTTTGGTTTGGTTTGGTGCTTCATAGGGCTACTCATTATCAGAACCTATTATTTTACAGCTTCCCTTTTTTATTCTGTGGGAGATAGGCAAGGTTTCATAAGTCTGGAAAGAGAAGATAGAAAAAGAGAAATCCTCGGGTCTCAAAATTGCATTGCAATATATCCCACCGCTAGCAAAACTTTAATAATAATAATAATAATAATAATAATGCCTAAAAATTGTCTGTCATCAACTCACAGCATTTAATGTTTTCTTTTTCTCCTTGTTTTGATTGAATTGATTAAGGAATAGTTTTTGCGTAAAAGCCTATAACCTATATCACCCTTTATGCATTCAGCTATGCATCAATTATCATTTGTGTGCTAACCATACAGAAAATCAAATTTTCACACCTCTAGAAAGACTGTTTAATGACACTTATAATGTATTGTGAGATGACAGCAGTCGAGTATGTGTATAGATATATTGAACATGAATCTGAATCTTCTGTCATTGATAAGAAGTCTATACACGTGCTTCTTTGGATGTAGATTTGTGTACATGAGTAGTCAGTAATTTGTCCAAAATTCTGGAATGTGCAGGGCCAGCCATGCAGACTTTGTCGTACCGTATCAAAAATACATTAAAAGCATCACCAATCAAATACCTATTGGGACCAGATTCAAAATGAAATTCGATGTCGATGATTCTCCGGAAAGAAGGTCTGTATAATTAGATATAAGTACCATGATGCCTTTCACTCCTCGTGGGGACTCTTCAAAGAATTTAAACTTATTCCTTCACTCTTGCAGGTGCAGTGGTGTGGTGACTGGAATGTGTGATATCGATCCCTATAGATGGCCTAACTCGAAATGGAGATGCTTGATGGTACGCTACTTTTCAAATTCACTAGACATTTTCGCCACATGAAATACACATACTACTGCTTTATGTGCTTCCTTTTAAATTTTTTTTTTTTAATAGTATATTGCATTCTTGGTATTATGACAACGATTAGGTAACGTGTATTTTGTGTGTATATTTCTGAGAAGTGTTTGAAATGCTGACCAATTTTCCTCTTGTTAACTGAAGATTTAAGAACTTAAATCTATATTTATCACAGTTTTTATCTGACAGTGGTACAAAAAAAATAAATAAATAAATGTGCGAAAATAGATTTTAAAAATTCATAAACCAATTTGAAAGTGTTTCCCAAGGGGTGTTTTTAGAAATTTCATATAAGTTGTTTTCTCAAAAACATCGCCAAACAAGTTTCCACTACTCGTTTCTATTTTGTTAGTTTTCGAGAACCAAACAAAAAAAGCAATACCAAATGAGTCGTTATCATGCCTCATAATCTTTCTATTATGATTCATCTAATCATATCTTTGATCTAACAGGTCAGATGGGATGATGATATTGTAAGTGATCGTCAAGAGCGAATTTCTCCATGGGAGATTGATCCTTCTGTTTCTCTCCCACCATTGAGCATCCAGTCCTCCCCAAGGCTAAAGAAACTGCGGGTGGGTTTGCAGGCAACCCCACCCGATAACCCCATTGCCGGTACCAACTTTCCCATAAATTAGTAAAATCTGCATCATATTGATTACAATAAGATTAGAGACCCACCATTTTTTACTGCAGTGAGCCCCACTCCTATTGTGAGTAGGCGGTAAAAAATGCGTAGAAAATGGTGAGTCCATGGCAGGACTCATTTGTTTATACTCCCAATTCACGCATCTTAGAGGATTATTTTGCCTGTAGGAGGTGGTGGGTTTTTGGACTTTGAGGAATCTATAAGATCCTCTAAGGTCTTGCAAGGTCAAGAAAATGCAGGTTTATTATCACCTCTCTATGAATGTGATAAGGCGAACCGCCCGCTCGATTTTGAGATGCAATCCTTCGCACATCAAAGTCTTGCATCAAACGGAATGGAAAAAGTAAATTTTAGCGATTTTTTGAAGAGCCAGCAGCCCTCCGCTTACACAGGCTTTGCGGAATCTAGTCGATTTCCGAAGGTCTTGCAAGGTCAAGAAATATGCTCCTTGAGATCGCTGACAGGAAAAACTGATGTCAACCTCGGTGCTTGGGCAAGACCTGACCTTGGTTGCAACTTTTTCAATATGTATCAAAGACCCAAACCTAATTTCTACCCATTAGGTTCAGAAGGCGTTAGAAATGTGTACTTTCCTTCTAATGACATCTACAAAGGTGGACGAGATCCGGTAATGCTTTCTCATATGACAAATTTCGCAAGAGAGAATGTTCCGTTTAATGGGTCTTCAATTCAAAGTGGGGTTTCGAGGGATGAAGTTAGAAAGCCAAATCTACTAAATGAGCCACCACATGGAAAGATAGCCAGTCCTCCCACTTTGGAGGCAAATTTTAAAAATACAAAAGATGACATTTCAAATGGCTCTATGGCTGGCTGCAAATTATTTGGCTTTTCCTTGACTGGAGAAACAGCGATGCCTAACTCACAAAGTTCTAATAAGCGGAGCTGTACGAAGGTAACCTTTGGTAACATATCATATTTCAATATGCAATAGATGGGTCCATGATATGTCCCAGTACCCATATCCAACTTTGGATACATATTCCAATATCTTGAGATTTAAGACTATGAAAGTTTGACGCTTAAACACACATCCACACCCAATAATTGTACCTTAATCCATGTAACATAGGCTTTACCTCAACTATCTCTGATTGATAAATGCATTGAGTGAAGGTTCACAAACAAGGCAACTTGGTGGGAAGAGCGATTGATCTTTCAAGACTCGATGGTTATAATGACTTGCTGATTGAGCTAGAGAGACTCTTTAGCATGGAAGGCCTTTTACGAGATCCTAATAAAGGATGGCGAATCTTGTACACCGACAGTGAGAATGACATGATGGTTGTCGGGGATGATCCATGGCAGTAAGTCTCTTTCTCATTAACTTAATTTTGGGTGTCTTTGGTCTTTTTACCATTTTACCATTGTCCACATGTCCAACTGGTAAAAAAAACAAATAAAGCAATTTTGATCTGCTTTCCTTATGATTTATTTGAATGGTCCTCAGATTGACTGACTTATTCTGACTCTAATTTTGTAACTTGTTTTGCAGCGAGTTTTGCAATGTGGTGTCCAAGATACATATCCATACCCAAGAAGAAGTGGAGAAAATGACATTCGGAATGATCAGTGACGACACTCAAAGTTGTTTGGAGGAGGCACAAGCGGTAGTGGACGTGTCCAAGTCTTCGTCTGTAGGCCAGCCAGATTCTCCTCCAACAGTAATTCGGATGTGAGGTTTAAAATTGTGTTGTTTTTTAAGTGTAATATTATGTTTGCAGACTTTTCTTTGCGTAAACCTCCGCATTTACCTTTTAGTTGTTTTGTTCTTGATTGAACGTACTGCATCAAACTTGGATTTTTCTTTAATTTATCGATGATGTGTGATAATATTAAGGGGTTGGTTGAGGTGTCCTAAATAAGTGTACTTTTTATCTTTTTGGACTAAAAAATTGAGGAAGAAAATATAGGGTGCCGTTTGGTAACACTTACGTTTTCAGTTTTCTGTTTATATTTACAAAAATTTAAAAAACTCAAATAAAAACTTGTTTGGTAAAATTTCTGATTTATAAATAAGTGGACTCAGTTTATAAATTTGGCCAAAAAATGAAAACACAAAAAATGTGTTTCCGTTTTTAGTTTTCAGTTTTTTTTTTTTTTTACCACCCAACTCACCACCTGCCACCATTTTCCACTACCGTCTTCCACCACTACCACCCACCTCCCACCACCACCACCTGTCACCACCACTCACCAGCCACCTCCCACCACCCGCACCCACCAGCCACCCATTCGTCACTACCCACCCCTCGCCACCACCATCACCACCACCCACCACCCACCTGCCATCCCGAAGTCTGCTGACGGTTGTAGAGGCGGAAGAATGGTGGAAATTGCACCGGAGGTGGTAAACGAAGCAAGTTGTAGAACTCAGAAAGCTTGAGCAATGACGGATTTGAGGAAAAAAGCCAGAGAGAGAAAAAGCTAAAGGATTGAACAAAAAAGTGAAACGACGAAGAGAGGGAAAAACGTTTTTGTTAAAACTTGAAACGGCGGTAAACGAAATTAATGCGCCTAAAACAACGTGAGCTTCAGACGGCGCACGCATGCGCGAGACGATTTAGAAGCGCGTCACAAGCGCCATTTCTCACTCTTTTTTATATTTTTAAAATTTTTTAAACATTTTGTCAATTACCAAACGCGTTTGTAGTTTATGTTTTTCTAAAAATAAACAAAAAATAAACAAAAACTAGTTTATAAAATTTTTGTAAATATAAACTGAAAACGTAAACGTTACCTTTTTGACTTTTTATGAAAAAATATGTAATAAAAAATTGTAAAAATTAATTTGTAGGAGAAAATTAGAATTGGGAGTTGTGTAGCCGTAATTATTGATTTTTGGTAAATAGTATTAACTTTTTGACTTTTTGAGTAACTTTTTGGCTTTTTGACTTTTCCTGAACATGCCAAACTTGGCCTAACTGTCTAGTTTTGCTTTTGGCTATGTTTGCATTTACTCTCGATTGAGCATTGCTCATGTAGAGCAAGACCAACCTTGTAGCTTCTCTGGGAACATTCCATTGTCTTAGGCCATGTCTGAAATTAGGGACGGGATAGAACTATTTTATTTCGCGATAAAAGTTATGCCATGTTGGGTTATTTTTTTGTGACCCATGATAACTAATCTTGGGTCCCTTTTATTCTGCTTGTGGAGAATAATATTGTCCTGGGAAAGGTTGGACAATTTATCCTAGCATAAAATTTTCGTTATGAGATTACTAGAGTTCTCTGCCTAGGATAACTTATCCTAATCAATGAACCAAACATGGCTTTAAATGTATATTTTAATTCTAGCCAAACTTTTGCAGGTCACAGAGCAATGAGATCAACCAGTTTGTGTTTGGGTGCAGGGATGAAATTCTATCCTTCCTGGTTAGTCTAATGTGTCTGTCCAGAATTTCTTCTTGGGTTTTTTTTTTAAGAATTGGGGACGACATTTGAAGAACCACCGATAAACCTGATATTGGGGAACTATTGGGTTCATCGCATGTGATTACTTATTTTGGGGGGAAAAAAAAAACTTAAATTTTTCAGGTGTAATTCTTATTCTCCAGAACATCACATACAAAATTATTCTCTGGGACCAACCCTTTCGATTATATTTCGGACTTTCAATTTCAAGTAAGGTTGGAGAAGTTAACCCAAACTATTGGAAACCACAAAATTTAGAAGAGGGTACTTGCATAGAAATTTAAAAAATAATAATAATTATAAAATAAAATAATTTGATAGTTGGTTCGAATACCAAGTAATCAAAAAAAAAAATATTTGTCATTTTTTGATTACCAAACAGTGGTGAATGTATCTAAAGAAATAACCTTATTGTGAAACGAGTTTCAGAAAAAGAGAGAAGGTGATGTTTGCAGAGGACTATAATTCAGAAATGAAAAAAACAAGTTGTATGGCTGAATAGAGCGAAAATGAGTCCCCATGGGAGCAAGAAGAAGCTGCTGCACCGATGTCAAAACAGTCCGTCACAGTAGGCCAGCAAGATAGTGCAGCAGCAAGCACGGATACTTCGGTCTACAGACCCACAATTTCTCGCTTACTGTTCCTTAAAAAGCGCACGACCAATAATGAGTCTTCTGATTTCACTAGTCCCAGCCCCAATCTCATATAACTTGGCATCCCGTAAAAGGCGACCAGTTGGGTACTCATTGACGTATCCATTACCACCCAGACATTGGATAGCCTGCAACATTGGATTCAAGGCCATTTTGACACACATAAATTTCACAAATTTACATTTTCATTTTGTTTCGCAGCAGTTTTGACTCATAGAAACTCCACACTGGTTCTTACAATAACAGTCCCAAATCCACAAGATAAGAGCTTCGTTCGTAGATAAAAGAAAAACTAACACAGTTTCGAATGACATTCCAAATAAAGAAAAAAATGCCAAACAAAGAAATAGCTAATACTAGCAAAAAGGACAAAGAAGAGCTAAACACACAACACATAGAAAAACCAAATCTGGCAATAAAACAAATATTGTTCGGATGGCTAACTTAACTGTTGTTCAAATTTTTGTTCAAAATCGCAATAATTATTGCTCTTTTAATGTTTTGGCATAAATAAATAACTAAATAAGAGCCTTGACTAGACAAAGGTAAGTATCAGGATATGCAAAGGGACAGTTAAGTAGAAAGATAAATAGAAGCAGGGCTTCACCTGAAGAGCAACTTGGGTGGCTCTTTCAGCTGCACAAAGTAGAACTCCAGCACAATCCTGAAAGTTAGCATTCATTCACAAGTTATTACAAAATTAGCAGAACAGTAATCAGTCAGGCAGATTGTGCATTGTATTCTCAAAAGTAGCCAAATAGTAATAACAAGAAGTGTTTTATATATTAAAAAAAAAAAAAGGGGGCTGTTTAAAAAAAAAATAATCCTTTAAATTGGATTGAATATTTATGTAGTTATAAGGAAATTTTGAGTCAATGCATTTCTTAGAAAGTTTTAAGGTACTTTGGATAAGATGACCAGTGTCATAGACCCTACCTTCACTCCCTAAGGTTAATTTTAATCCAGTAAGATGATCATAAACCCACGCACTAGCAATTCATCACAATGGCTTCTGAAAATCCACACAAATGACAGATAATAATCGGTAATGTAAGCATAGGTCATGAATCCCCTAGCACTAAGCTTTGTGCCATTACACAGCATGTTGGTTACCCTAAATTTTCCATTTTAGCATTATGAGTTATTAATGATTAAAATCAATGGACTGCTACACGGTTACAAAATTACATGCTGCCGGAAATATTTGGTAAAAAAATTAAGGGCCTAGGATCTCTAGTATGATCACTATCTCATCATTGCTTTAATAGACTAGTTTTTGTTTTTGTTCTTTTTTACTTCCTGATTAGAACAAAATTGTCAACTCATACAGCTCTAATTTCAATAACAAGTGAAAATGTGACTGACACTTATAATAACTGTTACCATTGCAAAAATAAAATAGATAAAAAAAAATTTTAAAAAAACAACAGCAAGCAGAATATGATATTATGCAACACCTTAGGGTCAGCTTTCCCATTGTCACAGTCCCTTGCAACGGCATACACATAAGATCTGGACAAACACAAGAATTATTAACATCAATGACATGAAAATAATATTAAAGAAAAGTAAAACATTCCCGAATCAAGATCTTTCACCGGGAAGACTGCAGCGAAGTATACATGTCAGCAATTTTCCCCTGTATATGTCAGGTCAATAGCATGAGGGACAAGTTTTTTTCAAACATGTGGTTGAGAACGTTAGGAAATTAGGTTGCATGTTTATGAACCTGAATAAATTGGAATTCACCAATTGGGTGTCCAAACTGTTCTCGCTGCCGAATATAGGGAAGAACCACATCAAGACATGCTTGCATTAGTCCAAGGGGTCCACCCGATAAAACAAGCCTCTCCAGATCTAAACCTGACATCATAACATAAACTCCTGAAACAAAAAGACAACCAATGTATTCTGAGCTTACTAGAACTGGTTTAATAAATGAAAAATCACAAAAACAGGCAATTTAAGCTAGAACATATATATGAAACCTAAAGGTTTCTAGGAAATGCAATGACACGTGAGAATAGTGTTTTGTTCTCCGTTCTCCTTTTCCTTTTAAGATTAGGAATTAGTGTTACTATTCTATATCTAATAGCATTCTCTATCAGTGATGTATTTTGTTTAGGATTAGGATTTAGTATTCTATATAAGTGAGTGATGTATTCTTTGTTCAATTCAATGAGATATACAGTTTGACTCAGAAAACTTACATGGTATCAGAGCAAGGTTTTGAACCGAAACCCTAGAAGCTCTCTGTGAGTTAATCACAAATTGTCTCTCGGAAATCAGCCCTCTGGTATTTTCTCTCTGAGTCGCAGGTCGTGACTTCCTCTGTTTCCTCTGTGTTCGTCTGGTTCGAGCAAAGGTCTCGAGTTGTCCTTCGTCTGGTCACCTGGTTCGTCTCTCTAGTACTCTGCCTTGCGACCCATTCGTCAAAACCCTAGCCTCTGGTTCGTGATCTGTCACTGGACTCGAGTCGTCGTCGTCATTGGTTCTCTCCTGCTTCGCTTCGTGCAATCGAAGTGCTGTCTATACCAGCTGCTCCGGAGTCTCGACTCTTGTCTTTCTCTCTTTCCCTCTCTCTCTCTCTGTCTTTGCGTGTGTGGTTCAAAGTTGACCTACGCTTGTCTTTCGTGACCTGGTCTTGAAATTACCAGTTCTCCTTTATTCTTCTTTGGACCAAACAAGTTCCTGATTATTATACTTTGACCCCTCATATTTTTATTTTTGCTAGTTATCACACATTGCCTTATCTTTTCCTTCTGGTTTCATCACAATGTCAAAAGATAAAATTCAGGCTATTAAATGCAAGCTTACTGGTGACAACTATCCTTATTGGTCTAGTGTTAAGAAAATTTTTCTTCTTCGCCGAAAAAAATTTCTGGTTTTGTTCCTCGTCCATCAGACTCGAAGGAGGAAGGATATCTGACTTCCTGTGATACTTGGGATTGTGATAATGCCCAAGTTCTGACCTGGTTTCATAACTCTGTGGTTGACCGTATTGGAATGATGTTTTCCCAAGTATAATACTGCCAAGAAGGTATGTAATTATTTACTAGGTGTTTATCAGCAGTCCAACTTTGCCAAGCGGTATGAGTTGGAAACAACTATTCAAAATGCTCGTCAGCGGGATCAAACTATTCAGGACTTTTATATTGAGATGACAGGCCTCTGGGATCAGTTGACTCTTATGGAACCACCTAGTCTCAAGATACTAGATGCTTATATTGAGTTTCGGGAGCAAGGTCGTTTAGTACAGTTCTTAACAACTCTCTCCCCTCAGTATGAGGCTATTTGAGATGGCATCCTTCACCGATCTCCTCTTCCCTCTGTGGATGCTATTGTTCATGAACTCCTCTCCGAGGAAACCCGTCTTAAGATGGCCAGTCAAACTTTGCCTCCTTCTGTCTTCTTGGCTCCTGCCAAGCCGCCCTTGTTATCGACCCCTCCTTCTCATCAGCTTTAGGCCACTGCGAAACCTAAGAAAGGACCATTAGGGCCAGATGAGTGTGCTTTCTGCCATCAGAGGGGTCATTGGAAGAACAATTGCCCCAAAAAGGGACGTTAGCTTGCTCCGTCTTCTCAGACACAGTTCCGCGAACCTACTTTGGGTACTTTTTGACCTACTGCTGCTTTTCTTCTCAACCGTATGCCTATCTCTCTTCTTTCTAGTCGGTCTCCTTATGAGGTTCTGTTTTCTCAACTTCCTAATTACTCCCTCCTTCATGTGTTTGGGTCTGCTTGTTTTGTCCTTTTACCCCGTAAAGATAGGACCAAACTTAGTGTCCGGTCTGTCCTATGTGTCTTTTTGGGTTATAGTCTCACTCATAAAGGTTATCGTTGTTATGACCCTGTGTTCCCGTCGCCTTTATGTCTCCAGCCATGTTGCCTTTCTCGAACGTCTATCTTACTTTCAGCTTCCTCCTCTCACCGCCTCTGTTTCCAAAGAGGCTTTAGTTCATATTGATCCATTTCCTTCTGAGGTCCCGTCTGATGAGTACATCTCCACAGTTACTCCTGAGCTTATTCCATCTTCTCCTCCTGCTTCACCTCTGGTTGCTTCTCCTCCTTCGGTCTCTTCTCCTTCTCCGTTGTTAGTTTATTCTCGTCGCAAGGCTCCTCCTCCACCAGTTGTCTGTGCCCCTACTTCTGATCCTCCTGCTTCTGACGACTCTGATCCTTCTGCACACTGATACCCTCCTCGAGCGCGTCATCCTCCAAATAGGTTGGGTTGGTCTAATACTTATTTTTCTACTTCCTTCATATTGATCCATTTCCTTCTGAGGTCCCGTCTGATGAGTACATCTCCACAGTTACTCCTGAGCTTATTCCATCTTCTCCTCCTGCTTCACCTCTGGTTGCTTCTCCTCCTTCGGTCTCTTCTCCTTCTCCGTTGTTAGTTTATTCTCGTCGCAAGGCTCCTCCTCCACCAGTTGTCTGTGCCCCTACTTCTGATCCTCTTGCTTCTGACGACTCTGATCCTTCTGCACACTGATACCCTCCTCGAGCGCGTCGTCCTCCAAATAGGTTGGGTTGGTCTAATACTTATTTTTCTGCTTCCTTTCGTACCTTTTTGTCTGCTATTCACTCTTTTGTAGAACCTCAGTCTTACAAGGAAGCCTGTCAGGATCCTCATTGGGTTCAAGCTATGGAGGATGAGTTGTTTGCTCTTAAGAAAACTAGTACATGAGAGTTGGTTCCTTTGCCTGCTAGTAAGAATCTGGTTGATTGCAAATGGGTCTACAAAGTCAAGACTTATTCTGATGGTTCTCTTGAGCGCTACAAAACTTGTCTGGTTGCCAAAGGTTTCTACCACAAATATGGTATTGATTATGAGGAGACGTTTGCTCCTGTTGCCAAGATGACTACTGTCCATACTTTAATCTTTGTCGCTGCTATACATTGGCCCTCTTTATCAGATGGATGTTAAGAATACTTTTCTTAATGGCCATCTCACTGAGAAGGTTTACATGCGTCCTCCCCCTGATCTTCACCATTCCTCTGGCCAAGTTTGTCGTCTTCGGCGTGCTCTGTATAGTCTGAAGCAGTCTCTTCGTGCTTGGTATGATCGTTTTCAGACTGCTGTTACCAAGCTTGGATTTCATCATTTTGCTTCCGACTCTGCTTTATTTCTGAGACATACCACGATTGGTTTTGTTGCTCTCTTACTATATGTGGATGGTATGATCATCACTGGCTCTGACTCTGCTGCTGCTGCTATCGCTGAGGTCAAGCAGCATCTCTTCCGCACCTTCAAAATGAAGGATCTGGGACCATTGCGGTATTTTCTTGGTACTGAGGTGGCTTCTTCTCCCAAGAGTTACTTTTTATCCCAAGCTAAGTATGCCAACGAGGTTATCCATCATGCCAGACTTACTGACACTAAACTTTCTGATACCCCCATTGAGCTTAATGTGAAACTTAACACTACTAACGGTGTTCCTCTGGACGATCCTACGTTATATCGCGAACTCGTGTGTTGTTTAGTCTATCTGACAGTTACTCGCTCTGATCTTACCTATGCTGTCCATGTGGTTAGTCAGTTTGTTTCTACTCCTCGCTTTACACATTGGGCTGCTTTGCTTCGAATTCTTCGCTAAATTCGCAGTACTATTTTACAAGGCTTGGTATTCTCTTCTACTTCTTTGTTAGATTTGGTGGCCTATGCTGATGCTGATTGGGCTGGTGATGTTAATGATCGTAAATCTACTTCTGGTTTCTGTATGTTTCTTGGCGATTCCTTGATTTTTTGGAAAAGCAAGAAACAAACTGTTGTTGCCCGTTCTACTGCCGAAGCTGAGTATCGTGCTAAGACTCATGCTACTACTAAAATTGTCTGGTTTCGTGGTCTCTTATCTGACTTGGGTGTCCCTCAGTCTTCCCGGACCTCTCTCTATTGCGACAACCGAAGTGCTATTCAAATTATTCATAACACTGTATTTCATGAACGGACAAAGCATATTGAGATTTATTGTCACTTCATCCGTCAGCATCTACAGTTTGGCGTTATCTCGCTTCCTTTTGTTTCTTCAACTCTGCAACTTGCTGATTTCTTCACCAAGACTCACACCACTACTCGGTTTCGGTTTTTTCTTGACAAACTCTCAGTGTTTTCTGCTAAAACACCTTGAGTTTGAGCGGGGGTGTGAGAATAGTGTTCTGTTCTCCATTCCCCTTTTTCTTTTAGGATTAGAAATTAGTGTTAGTGTTCTATATCTAATAGCATTCTCTATCAATGATATCTAATAGCATTCTCTATCAGTGATGTATTTTGTTTAGGATTAGGATTTAGCATTCTATATAAGTGAGTGATGTATTCTTTGTTCAATTCAATGAGATATACAGTTTGACTCAGAAAACTTACAACCTCCACTGATGATGTTATGTAAGAATTTCAAAACATCTCTAATTCAAATGATTTCCTCATGAAAAAAAGGAAAGAACATAAAGATAAAAAATCAAATAACATCATCTGATACCTTTTCCTTCCTGCCCCAGAACATTTTCTTTGGGAACAAAGCAATTTTCAAAGACAAGCTCACACCTGCAATTTTGTTGACAATCCAATTGTCAAAAACCCTCTCCAATTTAGAAAGAAAGGCGATGAGCAAAAAATAGATTAATAATTATAAAGCAACGCAGCCATACGTATCACTTCCTCGCATCCCAAGTTTGTCTAACTTCTGGGCAGTACTAAATCTGCATTGTCACGAACAAAAAGAAAAAGAAAAAAAGGAGGTGATTTTAGAGTGTTGTCTTCATTTTTTTTGTTGTTCTGTTTAAATTTCATCATTGCTTTAAATTGTTTTAAAGAGACTGTTCAAATGACATTTAAAAAAATAAAAACAAAATTGAATCATTTTGTCAAATTTGTATCATCTGAATAAGAAGGCATATGAATGCTGAATGCTGCCGTACTGTGGATTACATTCATCCACAGGTGTGCATATAAGTTGAATTTAAGAAAAAATTTAACAAGCCGACAGTTTGTGTGCCTACACAAGGCCTGCTGCTTTGCTTAAGGACATGAATACATCTATCTGGCTAACACGACCTAACAGCCTCACTGCACTTAGCCATGACCAGGAACAATATTATAATTGATCCCTATTACCATTTTTCTTATTACTAAAAATGCAAATTTGATGATTTTTTTAACCATTTTTTAGAGAGAGATATCTGTAACTTTGCCCATTTCATCAATATTGACTTTATTTTGCTGTGGACAAGCAAGCAGTGACTTCTTGCCCTATAACTTCACTACTGTCAACTTAAGTTCCAGTACCCAGGCATTCCTTTCTCGATGATAAATGCAGTGATTCCTTTAGAGCCAGCAGCAATGTCCGTTTTTGCATAAACAACCTGATACAATTGAAAACATCAATTCTGACCATATAAATTGACAAGGAAAATATACTCATAGCCATGCATAATGTTCAAAATAAAAATAAAAAGTGTCCGGCAAAAATACCAGTGTCTGAGCGACTGGACCATTGGTGCACCACATCTTGTTCCCATTTAAAATATAACCTCCGTCGACACCGTCAGCTTTGCATTTCATGCTAACAACATCAGAACCAGCTGAAAACACAAGAATTATTCAGGTTACAAAAAAAAAAAACATAATGTTTGACAACCTTTATTTATTTATTTTTCAAAAGAATTCATAACGATCTTCATGAATATAAATGTAAGCTGAAAACTAATTCATGAGAATTACCATTGGGTTCACTCATTGCAAGAGCTCCTACATGCTCCCCACTGATTAGCTTCACACCAAATCAGGGACATAATTAGTCGGTAAATGAATTAATTATATGAAGCACATGTGTGTGCAGATGGAAGCAATGAAAAAAGAAAGATAGAAGGTAAAAATCAGAAAATGTTTAAGTGAGGTCATGGCTAAAATCTGTGCACCCATGTTATCGAGCCAAGTTAATTTATTATATCATATTTTGCATTGCCTAAATGGTAACGCAAAATTAATATATACATAAGCAGTCATTCAATTGCATATGATTGAGTTCATTCAGTCATATCTTTCGAAATGGGTATATTGAATAAAAGTGTTCCACATTCAATTGCAGCATTTTCACCCCTTTTTAATAGTGTTTTTTCTTTTTTTTAAGGGCCCCTTTCTAATAGTTGAAGGGGTCAAATTGTATGAGTTCATAGATGAGGGGTGTAAGTTGATATTCTCCAATAGTTGAGGAGGTTGTGGAGTAATTAACCCTAAAATTTAAACTGGAAGGTGGGAAGGCAGGGGGAAATAGAAAGTGAAGTAAAACCTTTGGCAAGTATTTCTGCTTCTGAGCAGGGTTTCCATTCCTCACCTACAAAACAATGGTAGACAATTAAAACTTGGTAGACAACAGCAATATATCACCAGAAGGTTAGGACAGCCAGGAGAGATATGCTGCTTCAGCGCAAGTTGTGTTAGATCATTTACCAACTGATTGATACATAGGTTAGAGTGGGCACCATAGGAAAGGCCAACTGATCCTGAAGCACGACTAATTTCTTCCATAGCTATGCAGTGGTATAAATAACCAAGGCCAAGTCCTCCATACTCCTCTACAAAAGGGCCATGAGTTAAATTTCTATACACTGAGGGTGTGCTAGACAAAATCAAAATGCAGTGAACTAATTAAAGAAACTGCATGAAAGTATACTCCAACATCAACAGAATGAAGATTATTGAGGAGAAACAGAAGAAGATTTCATCACATGAAAAGAAACAATAGAAGTAAAAGGAGAAAGAGCAGTAATACGTGATGAAATTTCATCAAAAGTATCTCTCAAGCTCACTTCGTCTCCATTCACTACATGATTAGGACTGTGACCCTGATCTAGGGAACTAGTTCTTGATCAACTTTCCTCACCTCTCAGAGAATTAGGAGGTAGAACTATAGGAACAATGCATGGTCAAGTTACCATGCTTCGTAGAGTCTTTTTTCCATTTACTTTAAGCTAAATATGTTGTTAGTCAGTTTCTAATAATTTTTTCTTTGTAGGTCAGAGATTTTTAACAATGTATAGAATTTTTTGGCATACTCAAGAACTACTTGTTCACATTACAAACACTTACTAATTGGCTCGTGGTTTGGTAACTGCAAAATAATGAGAATACACAAACCACATATGAAAATGACTCTATTTGTGCATGTGTAAAAAAGCACATCACTTTGCTAAGACATAGCACAAGCTCCAAGAGTCTCTTTTGCTGATGAAAAATTATAAGAAAAGAACTGAAAACCTTGTAAGTGTGTGAGATTGGGGTGGTTATTGCAAAATTTCAAAATTTTCCTTTTTTAATTGTACCTTTGGTTTCTGTTCTTTTACAAATTTCTTGGAAACCAAAAGCAACAGGAAAAGTAAAGCTCAAAATAAGCTCTTACGACAAGAAATTCTACCAGGAGCTGTAATTCCATGGAGATTAAAATCCCCCATTAGTTTCCACAACTTGACCTCCTGGAAAGATTACATAAAACAAAGTTAAATCTTGACAAACTGGTCATGTGCTTTAAAAGATCAAGGAAGATAGTCTCACAACCTCTGGGAAATAATTGGTTGTATCTATTTTTGATGCATGAGGAGCAATATTTTCTTGGGCAAACTGTGAAACACTTTCTTTAAACTGTAAACATTGCCCCGCCAAAAAAAAAAAAAAGGACTGTAAGAGGACTGCCAAATACACAATGCTCAAGTCACTAGACAGAAGAAATTATGGAAGTTTAATGTCGAAAATAACTTAAAATCAACTAAATAAAAGAAACATTGTCAGCTCAAAAATGCAAAAATTCCTGACAGAATTGGGGACTTCTAAGAGTGATAGACGGAACTCTGTAAGAAGCATGCATACATAACCTGTCAAGTGTTAATGACCAGCATAAAAACACTAAACAAACTGCTTTACAGGGGAATAAAAAGAACAAAACTAGTCATAATGTATTAGTTTATCCAAATTTTAAAATAAGAGATAATACATAAAAATGACTTGCAGATATTTTTCAACAGAAGGCCACTTAAATAAACAATATTGCTAGATTGACAAACAAATCAAATAAACAATCAGCGGATTAAAACAATCTCAGCCAAAGTGAAAATAAGAATTTTAGGGGGTTGTCAGTGGCGTATGTGTGTGTGAAATTCAATTCCTAACGAATTAATCACCAAAATTTTCAATATTCCATTTCACTTGGTATAAATCCTATACAAAAAAAAATTGGAACCCTTGTAAGGACACGTTGGAATTTTGAAAGTATTGAAGGTAAAATTATCTTTTCACAAATTTGTATAATAAAAATAAAATAAAATAAAAAAACCTGTTTTTTTATAGAAAAGCCATTCCAGAGAGGCTTATTTGCTTTTGTTTTTTTGGGGAAAAAAATTGTTTATTTAGTTCTTCCCAAACAGGGTCTAAAGGTGTTTTAATCTGGCCTATAGGTTGCACTTTCTGCAGTTTTAGGATCATAACATGCCACCACACTCCACATCTGATGAGCCCATACACAGTACAACTGTGTTTTAATCCAACCTATAGATTGCCCCTTTCACACCTCGAACGCCAAAGCTGCAGCCCATTTGATTCCGTACTCGCATAGGTTGCATCCAATCTCATACTCAATGTGAAGGCTAACTCCTATACCAAATGATACAAACCCTTGAGTAGAACTCATACTTGAAAAGTGACTTCAAGAAGAGGATGTCCAAGAGCTCATTCACATGACCAAGTTCATTGTTAACCGATGTGGGTAGAACTCACACTGACTTGAAAAGGTGTGTGCCTAGGAGCTTATTCACATTTACATGATCAAACTCATTGTTAACCGATGCCGACAACTTAGGAGCGTAACCCACCACAAGAATATATATTGATACAATTGGTAGTTGGTTGCCAACCCCAAAAGTTAAAATAAGTCCGATTGGTTTTTTTTTTTTTCATTTCTTATTTAAATTCCAACGAAACACCATATATGAAACAAAGAACGATCCAGAGATTACCCTTCATATATAAATTCCAACGAAGCACCATATCAAAAACAAAGAATAATCCAAAGATTACCCAGAAATTCTGCAATTCCCATGTCTATACCCAAGAACAGAGCAATACCCAATTTAACAATAGCAATGAATCAAAAATTCAAATACAAAAAAGTACATAAAATCAAAATGAAACCCAACTCAAAAAATGGAACAATTAACACAAGAAATAAATCCTATCAAGAATTGAAAAAAACCAGAATGAATAAACTCTGTGCATACATATGCGTACAAACACACACACACACACACATATATACAGATAGAGAGAGGAGAGAGAAACCTGTATCTGGGTATCATCGAAGAGTAGAGAAGTTGAGAAAGCAGCACACTGTGTCTCCTTTCTGAACAGTGCAGCCGTTAAAGACCTCACTGAGGATAACCTATGCATCATATTTGGGTTCTAGAGAGAGAAATCTGCGGCTGGAGCTAATGGGGAAGACGATTGTTGGTTGCGAGAGAAACGCTTTCAGTCTAGCAATCACCGTAGCTTCTTCTGTCTGAATATTTTTGTGCTATATAGCTTTTGAAGGGGTCAATTTTTATTTATTTATTTATTTATTTTTAATTTATTGATGAACAAATAAGAATAATGTTTAAATACTTACTTTGTTCTCACATTAATGATTTAGAAGGTTTGACAATTACTTTTTTTTGGTAGTTTTTTTTTTTTTTGGTAGAATATAGAAATTTTGGGTTGAGATTTTTGAACTTGAGCAAATAGGCCGGGTCTGTCATAAATTCTGTTTTGATTATCTAATCTATTTATTTTTTATAATTCTCAATGTATATCATTATTAGGTCAATTCAATAATTATGAATTTTTTATTTTATTATGTTTGTTTCTAAAAAAATAGATTGGTTTCTGAAAAAATGAACCCGTTTGTTTTTTAAAATAAATTATCTATTTTTTGAAAGATAAAATAGAAATGTTATGATCATTGGATCAGCCAAATCCTTTTTATGGATAATACATATGAAAAGCTTTATAAAATAAATAATTTGAATTATCAAAACAAAATTTAAGGTTAAGGTAACTCAAGCGGAAAAGTCGTGTTATGAATGACCTTAGGGTGTGTTTGATTGAACGGATTGGAAAATGGGGGATTAGAATCCATCGGACTTGAGTCCTGGGAGTGTGAATCCCCCCGACTATTTGGTCGGATTGGATATGTATCCTGTGTTTGTTTTTTCATGGGATTAGATGTCTGGATAGGACTATTTTCAGTGAATCCAACGTTTGGTTGGACGGACTGGATAGGATAAATGAACAAAAGACTATTTTACCCTTTTTCAATTGTTTACTATGTAATAGCAATATTAAACATATCTTTAATATTTTAATTATTTTTAGTAAACATTAAACATACTAATGGTTAAATTTTGTTTAAAGATATTTAAACATACTAATATTGATAAAAAAAATTAATCATTACTGTATAACAAATCATTATTTTTTTTACATGCAAAACTTTACTGTGTTTGTTTATTTACACAATTAAATAAATTTATTTTTTTACACAATTAAATAAATAAATAACCACTAAATTTGATTTAATAAAATACTGTATAACCTGTATAAAAAATTTATATTATTTTTTTAATTAAAATTTTAAATAAATTTTAAATAAAACACATATTAAAATTTAAATAATGAAATTAAATAAATTATAAACAAAATTTTAAAATAAAACATCAATAAAATATCTATAAAAAATTATTTTAAAAATTTAAATAAATAAAACATCAATAAAAAGTTAAATAAATTATTTTATTTTTAAATTGAGACATTTAAATTTTATTGAATTTTATTAAATATAATACATAATTAAATAGTAGAGGGTCAAAATGGTCATTTTCGCATTTAATCCCAATAGTGAATAGTCCCCCACATTCTATCCCACCCCCCTAGGACACAATAGTCCCCCATATGGGGGACATGGAGTCCGGCCGGACTCCATGTCCGGCGGACTAAAAAAAAATCAAACGGCGGATAAGGAACACTATTTGGATTGTAATCCAAATAGTGAATAGTCCCCCCTCCAATCCCCCCAATCAAACACGCCCTTAGTGCACAGTCAGGCCTTACACATCCCTTAAATTCTCTTAAATTCAAATTTAATTTTGGGATTTTATTTGACAATTATTTACAAATATATATGTATAGATAAAATTTTGTAAATGGTTTCAAACTTTTATTTTTAATGAGAAATTACTTACCTTATTGATAAGAGTACCGAAAAGCATGTAAATAAGGGATCACAAACCCAACCAAAGCTACAACACTATTCAGCATGTGTGAGGCAATTACGCTGAGCCACCTGGAGCAAGATAAGTTGCTAAGAGTAGTTACAGTTGTGACAGTGACGTTAGTTAGAAATGATAATGTAACAGAATTAGCTAAAATGTGAAGGAATATCTTCATTTTCTGTTATGGTATTAGAGCCACTTAACTCTAACGAGTGAAGGTCTTTCAATGGCAAATCCATCTCAAGTTCATCTTCATCCTTTGTTTTGCCTCCAAATCTAAATCTTCTACTATCAAATTTCAATTCTCATTATAGTCAAATTAGATTCTACTAATTTTCTTATTTGGAAAAATCAAATTCGGAATGTTCTTAGAGCTACTGATCTTCTTGGATTTGTAACTTGTACGAGTACAAAATAATTCTTCTCGTATGATCCTGTTGATCAAGCTTGCGCTCCTTGAAACGTCGTCGCTTTGTCACCTGAAAACACAAACGTGAGCTAACCGGCGGGTATGTGTTGGAAACCCTTCCGATGCCTAAGTCAGCACAATAGAAAACAAACACAAAAGCTCTGTGAATTCAGGAATCAAAGTTGTGTTACCTCTCCATAGGTGATGTTGTGAGCTTTTATAGGTTTCGTGTGGCACAATCCTAGTAGGAATTTTACTCCTCCATGTAGAGTCCTTCTAGGAATCACACTCCTGAAAGATAATGCTTATCCTTCACCACCCCTCTCACTGCTTAAACCAAGTGAGATGGTTTTACCACGGTGGGATGTCAATATGACCGAGCTAACATGGTCATGCTGAAGCCGCAGACTAGACCAAACTCCAACTAGCTCAGTTTTTCCTTTCACTGCGTGTACCTCGGTTTGACATATTCCAACCGGGCTGTTTCCTTAATACCGAGCTAACCAAGTACGAAGTAGGAGTTAGCTCGGCGCTCAAGCCCACAATGCCAAGCTAGCTCGGCTCTCCCACGCATAATGCCTAGCTAGCTCGGCCCATACGCTTAGTCTTTTAGACCGAAGTAAATCTGCTTTTACTTTGGTCCATCCTGCAGCCCAATTAACAAAGAAGTCTCCTACTTAGCTCGGCCAATATAGACATAAATTACCCTCTCAATTGCCCCTTAATTCCATCTGCGTAGCATGATTGAGATTACATGTTTCCAGCCGAGCTAAAATTTTAGCCATTTAACCGAGTTAAACTGTGGTCTTCAACCAAGCTAAATTTACACCGGGCTATTAATCTATCCGGTCAAAAACGTCTCTTCGGACGCTGTCTCTTAATCGCTTTCTATTCCATATACACGTAGCAGACTCTCATTGGCCCAGCGTAGCTGTCACGCCATCCTCGTACCTCGCGAATTTTGAACAGTCCCTCTTTTTTTTTTTCCTTCCCTTTTCACAAAACAAACCCTTATACTTCGAACCATTTCACTTGCACTATTCATCTTCTCACTCTCTTGCTTGAGCCTCCATTTCGGCAACTGTAACAACCCTCGTCACTGTTTACCAATTAACCACTAATTACTGCTAAACTGAGACTGATTATGATTGGTAACTAAATTGATTGAAGTACTGAACTAACTGACTGAAATCTGGAACTGAATTGATTAAGTATATCTGTTTAATGGTATGTCTATCTGTTGACTGTTTGATTATCTGTTCATGCCTTTGTGTTTAAATTGCGAATTGAACGCCTTATCGGTGGCCGATTCTGAAATTGATTGATGATTTGTGTTCATTGAAATTTATATGATTTTATGGTGTATTTAGCTAAAATGTGATTTGGTATGATTAAATTGGATTAAAATGAGTTAAATTGCAATAGTTGGCTTAATTACCAACATGCCACTTAGTGGACCACTTAGGCAACATATTTGAGCTTTATTATACATTCAACACAACATTTCATCAGCCTCTTTCCTTGTTATTGCCGACCAAGAGAGGAGAGTGAGAGGTTTGGAATGAATTCAACTTGATTTTGTGCATTGGCTTGAAGAATTGGAATATAGGTTGCAAATTAAGCTTCCTCACCTTGTATTGGAGACCTAGGTAAGGGAATTCAACCTCTCATTGTTGTGTTTAAGCTTGTTCTTGCATGGTTTTGAGCAAAGTTGAAGTTTAGAGCCAATTTATGGCTCAAATTGTTGAATTGGAGCTTAAGTGTTGCATGCATGTATATATATTGAAGTTTTGAGGTTGTAGTCCATAATTCCTCACATGCATGTCCATTTTTTGAGTGTAGACCATGATTCATCTTGTCTGTGAAGATATTGACTCGTTAGAGCATGAAATTGAAGCTTTAAAATGGTTTAAATTCATGCATGTTATGTTTGAATTATGTTCATGAAAATTGGTTTCAAATTGAGTTGAATTGATCTTCTTTTTGGGCCTTGATTTTACAAATTGAGCTTTGAATCATGTTATTTTATGTATTTACAAATGTTTTCCAGGAAAAGGGCCCAAAGGAATTGGTTTTAATGCATTTGAACTTGGTTTGAGCTTGGAAGTTCAAATCTGGAAATTTCAGATTTTAAACTCCCGCTCGAGCGAGGGAAGTGGCGTTCGAACGGGAAATTCGTGCTCCCAATACTTTGCACTGTTTTAATGTCCGCTCGAGCGGAATAATTGACGCTCGAGCGGGACCTTGTGTCTCACGCTCGAGTGGCTATCGAGCATCTATCAAGCGCCCATCGAGCGTGATTTTCACACATCTAGTACTTTTGCCCTGTTTTGCAGAACGCTCGAGCGTGAAAGTCTACGCTTGAGCGGATACCTTTGTCTGCATGTCCACCCGAGCGGGTAAACCTACGCTCGAGCGGGACCTCTGTTTTCTGAAAATTCTGAAAAATGTTTTCTGAATGCATCTTTGCATCCTCATCCCATCCTAGGCATTCTTAGGCCTAGTTTAAGACATCTTAATGAGGACATAGATGAAGAACACACTGAGGCAAATTATGGATTAAGTTATTATCTTTCCCAACTGTGTAGCTTAGTGTGTGTTCAATCTGTAACTGTGTAGGGTTGGCGACTGGGGACGCACTCTAGCAACAACTGTGTAAAGATATGTTCAAAATGATTATCTTCTGAACAATTGAACTGTACTGCTTTCTGAACTGATACTGTTAATTGAATGAATGTATGTCCTATATTCTGAACTGTATTGTGGCATCCTTAGCAACTACTGTTTACTGTTACTGTTACAGAGATCTCTGTCAGTTCCCTTGTTGGAACCACTACTGTTTACTGA